GATTATATCGTGCATCCCTAATTAAATTAAATTAGAGTTACTTATTCCTGTAAAAACCCTGTAAATTAAATCCCAAATTTAAGAGATCATAAACTTTCACCTTTATAAGGAAACAGGTAGCAAATTTAAGAGAATAAACTTGTTAATTTACTGTATTTTTCATATTGAGTCCCACTTTTACTAAAAACTTTAATATTCCGTCTTATCTCCCATTAATGTTGCATTTGCATGAGCTTTATGTAGAATACTTTAACGTGAATTATAATCTGGCATTGTGCCGCTAATTTACATGTTTAAATCTGATACTTTTTTCCTCCTAAATTTGCTTGTTTTTTTATAATTAATTTGCTACGTTTTTTTTCTCTAATAGTATATTTTAATTTTGTAAATCTGGGTGTTTTTAATCTTAAATTTGTGTTTATTCTCGTAAAAATTTCACTTTAACGTGAAATATGTAAATTCCATTTAGGATTTAATTCCATTTATTTAAAAAATTTTACCAGTTTAGTTTTTGAGATGAAAAAGATTTGATGAAGCTTTTTTAACTCTTAAATGTTTTAGTTAAGTAGAAACATTGGTGATGTCACAATGTGAGAGCGGGGCTGTAGATCCGGTTAGCGATTAGCGTTAGCCGCCTCTGCTCATACTGAGAAGCTCCGTCTGAGTCTCGTTCAGCAGCAGCTTCCACGCCGCGGCGCCAGGCCCCCCATGCCATCCCGTGGTTCCGTCTCTGATCCGGCTGAGCCCAGTTGTTTAGAACTAAAGTTTGGTTCTCGGTGTTTTCCAGGGAACAGGAACGGGAACTTCTGTTTCAGAAGAAAGGGAAGCGTCCCAGAGGACGGCCCCGGAAGATTCTGGTAAAAGCAAACCTCACGGCTCCTCCTGCTCTCCTGCCGTCTCCTCCTCATCATCTTCATCGTTCTGTGTCTCTTCCTCAGCCTCCTCCTACTGCCACCAAGGACAGCCGTTCCTCCTCCTCCTCCTCCTCCTCTGGCCTCTCGTCTGAGCCCTCCTCTTCCTCAGAGGATGAAGACCACATCAAGAAGTCCAAGCCGAGTCCCCGGGTCCACCCCGTCCCCCAGAAAAGGCCTCAGATCCTGTTGGCCAAGCCTGATCCGCCCCGGAAGAAAAAGCGAGGGAGGAAGCCGCTGCACCCGGACCTGAAGGCTCTACGGCAGGGGAAGAGCCTTCCTCCTCCTCCTCCTCCTCCTCCACGCCATCACCAGCCAATCAGGTCGCCCAGAGACGACCTGCGGCCCGGCGTGAAGAAGCCTCTGCAGCCGGCCAGTTTCACCTACCCTGGGCTCAGTCGGAGCTCCAGAGAGGAAGGAAGCTCCTCCTCCTTCTCTCAGAGCTCCGCCTCCAAACCCGGATCCCTCAGCTGCATCTGGACCGGCCGCTCCCTCTCTTCCTCGTCCTCCTCCTCTTCCTCTCACAACAAAGGCGGCGCGTCGCAGAAGCCCTCCGAGCTCCGGCGCTCCTTCTCAGAAACGGGGAGCAGCAGAGCGGAGGCCTTTAAAGCGTCTCCTGTGAAATCTGCCGGCGGTTTGGCGCCCTCTGGTCTGCACAGCGGCTTCGGAGGACATCCAATCGCAGCACAGCGCCCCCAGCTGGCCCACAGGAGGCAGGACGGTCAGACGGGCCCTGTTCAACACAAGCAGAACTCCGGTTTCTCCAAACAGAACCCGTCTACCAAAGAGCGACCCAGCCAGGCGCTGAACCTACGAGCGCTCAACCTACAGAGCGTCGGCAAGCTGCCGGCCGCTGGCGGCCTGCAGGGCGGCGCCGCGGCCGGAGGGCAGCGCTCTGGGCCGGCGCTGGAGTCTGGGCGGAGCAGGTCGCAGCCGTCCGCGGCCGGCAGACAAGAGGAGCGCAAACACGGGCTGAGCCTGACCGAGCTCAGCACCGGGGATTCCGACGACACCAGCAGCAGCGAGTCGGAACACGACGCCCCGTCGCTGCCTGACGACAGCAGGCCTGGCGTCGGCGGCAACGCCACCGAGTCGGACACAGAAACGGACTGGAGGCCGGCCCGCAGCCTCATGGAGCACGTCTTTGTGACGGACGTCACGGCCAACTTCATCACGGTGACGGTGAAGGAGTCTCCAACCAGCGTCGGGTTCTTCAGCTCCCGCAATCACTGACGGAGCCAAGAGGTCCTCGCTCAGCGCCGGGTTCTGGCAGCAGAACCGCTGTTGGATCTCTGCAGCGAAGATGAACCCTGAAACCTACTGGTGTTAGTCAGACCGCAGGACGCCGCCGCTCACCGAGGCTTGGTGGGTTTCTGTTGGACCTACGCAGCTGGAGGTTCTGGTTCCTGACGTGCTGCAGCGTCAGGACGTTTGATCAGGAGAGGAAAGAAGAGGCTCCAGCTCCGCCGATGGTTCTGCTCAGCTGGGTTCCCACTGAATCCCTGTGGACACGCTAACGGCTGTCTGGGTCGGATCCGTCTGTGGGCGTTCTCTCTGACCCGTTGGGTGTTGGACAGTTATCGGGTTTCACCAGCAGGTGGAGCAGTTTTCCTTCCTGATTCATTCCAGCCGGTTTTTGTTGAGAATCTGCAGCTCAGTGAAAAGAACGTGTCGGTAAACGGTTCATTAGTCTCCTCTCTGCAGGTCGCCCTGCTCTGACGTTTGCTTTGTGAAAAGGAGCTGCAGTGAACGGTTCACTAAACGCCGCTCTGCAGCCTCCAGGTCCGTTCACCGCTTCACCAACTTATTTTTATCTGAATCATGACGATAATCTGTCTTAATAATCCTTAAAGCTCATTTTAATGTATTCATATCTGGTTATTCTGATTTATTGCGGTGCTGTTGACCCGTTCTGATGATGGATGGAGAGATAAGATCAGCTTTGCTTCCAGAAAGCTGATCTTTATCCATCCGTCCGTCTATCTGGACCTCATCTTGCTGAAAGTTCAGGTTCTGCTCAGTTCTGGTGTCTCTATTAATCTCATCACGTTAATCAGTGTTTGATTTTTGGGAAGTTTTTAAAGAGCTGACCATTTATCCGATTAAATCTTTGATTAAAAGAGGAGATTATAATCCTTTAAGGTTTAGGAAAACCTTTGTTCTTTTAGGGTGAAGGAAGAGTCTGGTTTTATTTTCTGCTGGTTCTTCTGGAAGAAATGGCCTCCAGATGAACCGGTGCTGCCGAGGCTTAGGCTGGACCGACCATCGGCTGGACGCTCCGCCTCCATCTTTGGCCTCCTGATGTCTGAACTTTTCCCAGAACATCTCTGTGTTCTGATTGTGGACCAAAGCTGTATTGAATGTGAACTCTGTAGTTCTGACTCGTATGGTGGACAGTATCTCCAGCTCCAAGCACAGCGCAGTGGGAACCTTCCAGTATAACTTTTCTACCGTTTATAATACATACTTCATTGCCGTGTCTTTTGAAGTGAAATTCTGTGTTATTTATATCTGTAAATATGTGTGTTCCTTTTTTTTCATGATATCTGGATCTGGTGCTCGTGTCGGCCGATTAGCTTCACATTATTGTAGCCTGTGTGCCTCTCTGCCGTCTGAAGGATTTGGGAAATAAAGCTGACCAGCTGAGCCGCCTGTGTGTAGTTCCTGTTCCTACCAGCAGGGGTCTCTGTTCAGACTCCTCTCAGGGATCATCCTCAGAAAGCAGAGAAGAAGACATCAACCTGCTCACCTGATGGGAGAAATCAGCGTTTAAAACACTTAAAATAAAAACCTAATAATGATGCCGTGTAAGAAGGGAAAGAACATTTTCAGATTTATAGTTTAAATTGGCATTTTTACAAGAATAAACACACAGATTTACAAGTAAAAACAAATTTACAAAATAAAAAAAATAAGAAAAAGTAGCAAATTATTAAGAAAAACAAAAATTTAGGAGGAAAAAGGTAAATTTGCAAGATTTAAATGTACATTAGTGGAAAAATAATGACATTAAAATATGCTACATAAAGCACATGGAAAAGCATTAATGGGAGATTTAGAGATGGAGTCTGTAAATTTACATCTTTATTTCGTAAATTTATGTTTTTTCCTTGTAAATTTGCCTATTTTTTCTTGTACATTTGTTACTTGTTTCTTTTTATATTTGCATGTTTATAATCTTGTAAATTTGTTTTTTTTTATTTGAGTGTTTATTCCTGTTTTATTTTACTTTATTTTTGTCCTTGAATGGCCCTAAAACGCAGTCGTACCTTATTTTGCTGAGAAGCAGAGAAACAGCTGGAAACCACCGAGTATGGAGGAGCTGGAGAACCACTTTTACACACATTTAAATCATTGTATTTCGAAAGTTTCTT